TCTGAGACCAGCTGCTGCAACGATCGGTTTGCCAAAGAATTTCTGCACAAACTGTCTCAGAGAAGATCATCTGCAGGCTTGTCCTCGTCGGGGTCTCCATATGACTGCAGTTCCATCATCGTAACTGACTTGTGTGTGCAAATGCTCACAATCTATGGTGCATGGCACACTGAAGAGGCGTTCTCTTTACGAATTAATCCTGGTTTTCACTGTACAGGGCAGATGTCAGGCTGCGTGCATGGCGGCATGTGGGTGAGCGGTTTGCTGATGTCAAAGTGAATCGTGTGGCCCATGGTGGTGGTGGTGGTGTGGTATGGACAGGTAAATGTTATGGACAAAGAGCACAGGTGCATTTTATTAATGACGTTTTGAATGCACAGAGATACTGTGACGAGATCCTGAGGTCCATTGTTGTGCCATTCATCCACGACCATCACCTCATGTTGCAGCACGATAATGCACAGACCCATGTTGAAATGAGCTGTACACAATTCCTGGAAACTGAAAACATCCCAGTTCTTGCATGGCCAGCATACTCACCCAACATGTCACCCACTGAGCATGTTTGGGATGCTCTGGATCGGCATATATGACCACGTGTTCCAGTTCCTGACAATATCGTTGAAGAGTGGACCAACATCCCACAGGCCACAAACAACCTGATCAACTCTGTGTGAAGATGTTGCACTGCGTGAGACAAATGGTCACACCAGATACTGACTGGTTTTCTGATCCCATCAATAAGAAAAAGTAAACTGCACATTTTAGAGCGGCCTTTTATTGTGGTCAGCCCAAAGCACACCTGTGCAATAATCATGCTGTCTAATCAGCATCTTGATCTACCACACCTGTGAGGTGGTGGATTATCTCCACAAAGGAGAAGTGCTCACTAACTAAAACATATACATTCAAAAGGCGTTCAATACAAAAACAACTGGACTTTATTTGTAACAGAAGACGTTTCGCTCCTCATCCGAGGAGCTTTCTCAATTCAAAGAGCAGAGAGTGTACACTTCAACATTAAAGTGTACAGGAAACCAACCCACACAGACCAGTATCTTCTGTTTGACTCCCACCATCCACTGGAACACAAACTCTCTGTCATCAGAACTTTACAACATCGGGCCGAATGCGTCCCCACGAAGACAGAAGGGAAGGAAAAGGAACTGAAACACGTTCAAGAAGCTCTTCAAACATGTGGATATCCTAACTGGGCTTTTGTCAAGTCAGCGAGGAAATCTACAAAACACACCAATAAACAGAAAAAGGAGAACAGCAGACGGAAAAACATTGTCATCCCTTATGTTGCTGGAGTATCAGAGAAACTCAGAAGGATCTTCAACAAACACAAGATTCCAGTACATTTCAAACCCAGCAGGACTCTCAGACAGAGGCTGGTCCACCCTAAGGACAAGACACCCACACACAAACAGAGTGGTGTAGTGTATGCGGTCCAGTGCAGCGAGGACTGTCCAGACCTCTACATTGGAGAAACTAAACAGCCTCTTCACAGACGCATGACTCAACACAGGAGAGCCAGCTCCTCTGGACAAAATTCCGCAGTTCACCTCCACCTCACAGATAAGGGACACTCTTTTGAGCACCAAAATGTGCACATTTTGGATCGAGAACACAGATGGTTTGAGAGGGGGGTGAAGGAAGCAATTTATGTAAAAAGAGAAAAGCCGTCTCTTAACAGAGGAGGAGGCCTCAGATTTCCACTTTCAAAAACATTTAATGCAACTTTAAAACAGATCCCCAGCCGGTTTTCACACCTGATGGGAACAGAGGGGCCTCGACTGTGAATTAGAGGAACAAAGACCTACTGTTTAGGTTTTCAGGTGTGAACTGCCAATCTACATATATGTGTGTGTGTGTCTTCTCTGTGTGTCTTCTGTGTGTGTGTGTCTTATCTCACTCAGCCTTATAACCTGTATCTCTCACTCTCTGCTCTTTGAATTGAGAAAGCTCCTCGGATGAGGAGCGAAACGTCTTCTGTTACAAATAAAGTCCAGTTGTTTTTGTATTGAACGCCTTTTGAATTCATCATGTCCTGGATGACTGAGAATCTTCACCAGCATAAAACATATACAATTTGTGAATATTTGAGAAATAGTCTTTGATCTTTTTGAGTTCAGCTCATGGAAAATGGGAGTAAAAACTAAAAAGTGTTTATATTTTTGTTCACTTCTCTAGAATTTTAAATATTGAAATAGACTCGGATATCTAGTGACAAATATATACATACCATAACATTAATATTGATATACATAAAATATAGCTCAATCATTAAAAGGTGGTAAATTGTTATTTTCTATAATTAGCTAAATACATTAGTCATTTTATATGCCACTATATTTTTCCTAATTCAGACAATACTCCTTTTAAAGAGCTGAAATAAAGAAATCTGATCTAAACTGAAAATAATCCTTTTACAACTGAAACCGTGAGCTACATGAAAGAGTTTAACATCGTGACCTGCGAGTCCTGCGCATAAAGGAGAAAAGCCTTGCACTAATTTTAAGTGTTTAATTAGGAACCACACCAAATCTTTCAGCAAATACCTCACAGCAAGTTTTATTTATACATTCAAAAACAAAAAAAAGATCAAATTTCTCACACTATATACAGATATTACATACAGTGTTTGTACACATATTACATCATTTGTACACAAGAAAAATATACATAAAAATGTAAACTTTCGTATACAAAAAATACCTTAGACAAATCAAACAAGGACCAATAACAAAAGGTGACTAGATTAGCTCGTCCTATCTTTAAAAACCGTAATACAGTACATTCAATGAGAATAGGAATTTGTCAGCCGTCTCTGAAGTCGAGCAGTTACACCATGTGCCTACAAGCCCTGTGAGTTTTGTTCTACGCGTTTGTCGGGAACTGGTGTGGCGACTAATCTCATGGTTACAGTAGTATTTCCAAAGCTCAACCATCCAGTTGTTTTTCCTTCTTGTTTAAGTTTATCTATTAGTGACAAAGAGCTCAGCGAAAGATTTAGGCCTTAAATTGACTTTTCTCCTTGAAAATGGGCGGGGTAATGTTTGTAACCATGGCAACTGTGTTTGTAATGAGTGCTAGCAACAACAACAAAAAAGGAAAAAGTAATTAAGGGACACGTGCAAAGCCACCGGTCTCATCTACTCTTGTGCAAAACTTGAAATATTTCATCGATCCGTGTTCTTCCACAACATGACGCCGATAAGTGAATTTCGATGAACAAGCCACGATCTCATAATCATCTCAGATGTCTTCCTGGAGTTTATGAGTTATCAAAAACATCCTCCAAAAACAAAACGGCATACGCTGATCCGCTCCGAAATGAAAACTATTCCGATAGCTGTATGCTCAATAATCCAGGTAGGTGAATTAACAAGGTGGAGCCAGGTCGTCTGGAGGACCTGGCTCCACCTTGTTATAATCTGACAGCTGGTACATGAGAGGCTCGCTCCACAAGACAAAAACAGAAAATAATTTCCATCCATTGCAGCTGAAGAGGTCACCAACGAACCCCTGAAGATAGAAACTTTTAATCTAGATCGCTAGTATTCAACAATGTCTGATAATTTGTCTAATTATGTGTTTTTTTAAAACCTGTGAGTTAACACAGTTGGGGAGGGAATAGTTTGCTAAAATTATCCCCAAACCCAGGCATTAAGTAGCTTAAAATCACTTTCAGTAAAATAGACAGTGCTTTACTTTAGACGTGCAAAACATAACCAGTTACACCATCATGGTTTCACCTAGCTTGTGAGAAAATTGTATATTTCTAATCTGCAGCCCGATCCTTCCCTGTGTAATCTGTTAAACTGGACTTCTGAGACATGGAAGCCGCTGAAGACCATTGTACGTGTGGACCAGAGAGCACCAGTGAGAGTAGACACTTAAAAGTCCCTGCATTAACAGCCACCGCCATCCTCACCTGTAACACTGAAGCTCTGATAGTCGACCGGTGAGAGACGAAGACGGCTCGAGTGAAGCGGTTCGTTAAAAATCGATACGGCTGGTTTCAGAGTGAAGCTACACGCCACCACTAAAATACCTCAAGACGCTAAAGTGATAATAATGTGTTTATTGCTTTACGAAACTTGTTTTTGTTTACCTTAAGTGTCTACTGAGCCACTCAGAGTGCCACAACCAATGGTGAGGTCAGAGATTTTGACGTCTGAGCAAATTAATAAAATGAGCACATACACAATATACATAATATAAAAACAGTTGTTAAAAAAAGTTCTTTTTTGGTAATTTATACGACTGAAATCTGATTCAACATCATGACAGTTAAATAGCATGGAACATAATGGGTTACACAAATATCACAATGTGCACGCTTTCTTTTTATCTCTTTTTCCGCAGTGTATAAAACAAGGGGAAATAACGCAATGATCAGTGGAAGGCAAGGTACAAGTGATCTTTTTAGGACAGGGCTTAATACGATAGTTTAGACCTTCTGAAGTGGAGTTCTGTAGAAACTTTATGAAGGATTAATATCTCACCAAATTGAAAAGCAATTCATTAACAGTCCTAGCAGGACCACAACTGATATGGCTGCCATTTCAAAACTAATTCACTTTTTGTACACAATGTTGTAGTCATTCGCAAGCGCAGCTAAGTGTAGCACTTTACAGAGTCTGGAAAACTTTCAGCGGGAATATCAGAATATTTCTAAATGAATATCTGTGTAATATGAAACTGTCAGTGACGACACGGTTTATGAAATAAGGTTTGCATGAATGGTTTAAATGTGGCAGACATTCACCCTGACTAGTCATTAGCTCATAAATCCTGTCACAATTAAAAGTTTCTTTAAAGTGCCATCTACAACAGGTAAGATATTACTTGTTCATAAACCTCTCCACAGAACCGCACTTTCAAAGCACTGAACTATCACTTTAAACTGGCAAACAAAACCGACTGCCAGACGAGGCTTCTAGGAATTTTGAGTACTGTTAAATAGATAATCTCTGTTAAGGTCCTTCACCCGTTTTTTTTTTTTTTTATGTTTTTTTGTTTTGTTTGTTTTTCAGTAAATAATCTGAATGTGACCCCCTGCTGACAAAACCACAGAGCAACAAATAAGTGGACTCACAATTACTTAAAATCTCAGATGCTATCTGGCTACAAATGTGGGAGAGAAAAAAAAAGTATTAAATTGAGATTGTGCAAATTCATAATTAAATAGTGCACTATAACCACATTGCACAGATGAAGCAGAACATGGTGGTGACTCGGAAGCCAGTCCACTGGACTGTAAGTGACTGTGAGCCCACAGACCGTCGTGTAGCCCCTTGCTCTCATTTACTTTGCGTGAAGGGTGGTGTGACGTTGTTGGCACTTGCAGCGGTGGCACTAACTAAGGAGAAGCCAGCGGGGGGTGCTGTGGAACTGTGGCTGGGCTGCACATCTTTCGGGATGCCGCTGTGGGAGGCCAGTTGATGGCCGAAGGCCGCGCTGAACTGAGGGAGCTGCTGTTTGGGCTGCGTGGAGGTCAACAGGTCATGTGTGGAGGACGAGAGTGAGGACGAAGGAGCAGGGGGAGTCGTTAAACCAGTCATGGCGCTCTGCGGCATCGCTGAGAGCGCCGCCATGGGCTGCAGCGTCACAGAGTGGGTGGTGGCAGGTGGAGTGGACAGAGAGGTGGATATGAGATGACTCTCTGACCTTATGAGATTGCCAAACTGTGTGGGATCGGTGAGGGGAAGAGGAAGGTTGTTCCATGTTGTGCGTGGAGCCCCTGGGATCCCGCTGAGAGGAACTTCCAGCAGGAGAGGGGTGTCTGTCTGAAAGGAGGTGGCATGGGGAGAAGATATGTGGTCACTGTATGGAGATGGTACATGCTCACTGCTGTAGTGGCTGCCTTGGGGAGATGAAGTGGACACGTCGGACTTTGCCAGGACGAGGGACGTGTGTGTCCGAGGAAACGTCCGCTCCGCTATGGAGTTCTGGGTTAGCAGAGAGATGCTGGTGGTTGCCACAACAGGGGAAGGTGAGGTCAGGTTGGAGCACGATGCTGGGGGCTGACTAGCTGCTTGAGATGGTGGCGAGGGAGAAAAGTGATCCCCAGTGGTATGTAACAGATTATCCTCCAGCTCAAGGCTGGTGAAGTTCTCCGTAGGGATGCGACTGCTGAGCAGGTCCCCCATGCTGCCTGTTTGGACCGATCCAGAAAACACAGTCATGGCTCGGTGGTCCACTCCTTCAGCTGATGCCAAGTCCCCCATGGTCGTCAGGCACACCAACGAGTCTGGGTAGGACCCCATTGCTTGCAGTGCACGGACCAGCTCCTCAGCCTCCTCCGTAGTGGGCAGCAGCTCTCCGTTTTTACCTGAAAGTAAAAGAAACAATTAACATACACAGATTGTGACAAGTTTCTTTGTGTGTAGCCATCATGGAAAAATGTGCTTGAAAATAACCTTCAAATAAGTCGAAGTCCTGCAGATCATCAGGTAGTCTTGGTAACACATCAGAGAAATCCTCCTGGTTCAGTTCAAGGTCATGTGGAATGTCTGCCATGTCGTTGGCGATGTCATCAGGAAGCTCCTCCGTACTCAGATCGGGAGTTGAAGGGCTCCTACCACAAGCAGGAAATGGACCAAAGGCTTAGAGATGAAACATGTTATCACTGTAAAATGTGAAGACGCAGTTGTAGCAGACCTGATGTTGCCCTGCGAGGGCATCACAAGGCTCGTTGAAGGCATTCCCAAGTTCCCCTGCGGCAACGCTGGTGGGATGGGTTTCTGTGGCCTTCGGGGCCCTCTCCTTCTTTTCTTCTTGTGTTTTTTGGTGAGCGCCGGGGGTTTGGTCTTTTTACGTGGCTTCCTCTGCTGTTGCTGCTGCTGGTGGTGGTGGTGGTGGTGCACTCGTCGATTTCCATCGCCACGTAGAAAATTATCCTGCAGAAGGAATGAGTGAAATTAAAACCAAACAAGCAAGAAAAAAAAAAAAAAGAGGACCATCATGGAAAAGTTTCAAAACGTTAAACAAGTGCAAAAAATGTTGCACATCATTTGTCGAAACTTGTACATTTATATTCACTCAACCTTTGTTATTAAACCTTTGTTTAAATCGGGTCTCTTGTAAATGAGTCCTCGAGGCTCAATGAGACTAACCTGTATAAATAAAGGTTGAATGAATTTATACAGGTTAGTCTCACTGAGTCACGGTTCACCACAAGTTGAGTCGACCTGGATTTGTGTATTACGTTGTGTTTGGACTGAGCATTCTTATCTTCCCCATCTCCACTGTTTGCTACATTGAACATTTAGTAAAGACATAAGTGTGCCACAAATCTTCTTGTCCATCTCTTCATTGAGAGCAATAGCCTATTACTGAATGTACTCTGTCAACATTCCCGGGAGCCTCTGAACTCACCATTTTTTTGGCGTGCTCTTCACAGAGGGGTGTCTGGTGTGTAATATCGAACACAGGAATGGAGCACTGTTGACCGTCTGCAAATTTGGCTGTGCAACTAGCAAAGAGCTGCTGGGAACGATTCGACAGAATGTCTAAAGGAAACATTAAGGATTAAAGACATGCAATCATGGTAGTTCCATTATGCGTACACTTCTGTACATTGCAAAGCATAAATGGCTTAAATTAGATAACAGCATTAAAGCTATTGTTCGGAACATATCGAGTCAAGCTTCACACCATGTTGCAAAGGATACGCTGAAAGCAGTGTTTAGTGAAGGGCAGAGCTCTGTTGCTGCAAAGCTGACCCTTTGTGCTGCCAGTGCAGGTCAGTGGATCTGTGCTCTGCCGCCTTACTGGAGTCAGACTGCAAAGAGAAAAAGATCCAGGACTGAGCTACCAGCAACAGAACCTCACATTATCTTGTGTGAATCAGAAACTGAAAACATGAAAGCAAAATCGGAGGGGCCAACCAATTTTCTTTTTGGTTAGACACCTATGAAATGCTGAACAGATTTGTAGAATATAATTGTGAGAATACCATGAGGCACCACTTAGCTCCTGGATCAGCTGCCCTGCACAGTCGGGGTCGTTGCTGGCAGCGTGTAGCAAGGCTTTGCGGAAGGCATAACGGTATCTCTTCTGGCGGATACTCGCCCTCTCCTTTCTGCACATGTGCTTGTATTTTTCCTGAAGGTACGAGCAGAGCCTCAGTAGCCGTGTTCGCCGTGAGGAACCACTGTTGTCTTCCAAACTACATCAGAAACACAGGAAGGTCACCGTAAGATAGTTTAAAGAATAAATTATGAAGGTAAACATAAAAAATACAAACCCATACTCTGGTCTCCATGAACTCTGAAAAGGAGAAAATCTCTGTGCCTCCTCTTCTTCATCGTCACCATCAGCACTGTCTTCTGACCAGTCCAAACCTGGAAGGTTAGCGGTTTAGTGCAGCATATCTATCTCAAAGTTTCTTATTGATCAAAATCTATTGATCTAAAAAATCTATTTGATATATAGAAAGTAAATGTTTATAAAACTGCTGTTAAATCAAAGAAAATGAATCACCTAAATGAGGAAAGAGGTCTCCATGCTCCCGATGTCTCTTGGCACAGAGCTGCACCAGGTGTTGCAACCTGGCAAGGCAGTTGGCTGAAGGTGAGAAGGCCGTAGGACGCATGACGACCACACGCTGATGATTGTTGCTCCCGCCGTCTTTGCATTTGACAGGCAGTTCAGTAGCAGTAAAAGGCATTTTCCTGCTGAGTGATGGTCCAGAATATTGCCCTGGACTGGGCGCTGCGTTGGCAGGCATTCCTGGAGGCAGAAAGTTGACCATCTGAGGTGGTGGTGGATTGCATAATAAAACCTGCTGCTGTCCTGGGAAGGAAGTCCCACTGGAGTGTTGAGACTGCTGGAGAAGACCTGATGTCTGCCGCGGTAGGTGAGTGTTGAGCGGTGACGATGCATGGACACGGGAAATGGGGGAGGCTGTAAAGTGCTCAGGAGTTGGCTGGAAGAGTTCTGTGTCGTGGCAGAGTTTTTGGTTGAGCACCAGCCGACTTTGTAGTTTCTTCTTGATGTTGTTGCCCTTCTGAGGAACGCCCATCTCCTCTCCGTCTGTGTCATCCTCATAAAAGGCAAAAGGGTCCAGGAGCTCCCCATCAGGGAGGGGTAACAGATGTGTACAAGGGGGAGAGGGTGGAAGGACATCTATTCCATTGGGAGCTCTCAGAGCTAAAGAGGGCACAGTTATATTAAGAGCCACTGACTCCAGGTGAGCCCGTGGACGCATTTCCTCCAAAGCATCATGTTTCTTCTTGCGTTCTTTCTTGGGTATAAAGCCGAGAACCTGCAGGTGGCTGTTGCAATATCTGGTAAACGAGAACACACACTGAGAACATTGTGGAAAAAACACAACTGCTAAATAAAATAAAGTCAAATCTGCCACACATCCTCACAATCATACACACCTGCGGTCCTCAGACTTGGGTATGGGGTTAGTACATCGCTGGCTGTTGTACTTTGCCACATATTCACATTGCTTGAAGGGAGCTGTCTTATCCTCTAGAACGTGCCGGATGCAGAATGCATAGCCATTTAGTCTGCGCTGCTTGCACAGCTTCGGACTATACGAGCACAACGGCTTATTGTCCACCTCTGAGAAGTGTATGTGTTTGCCTTCATACATTACGTGACTCTTGTTCTTGACATCAGCTGATGGGATAAAGGGAGGAAAAACAATTATTATCATAACTAGACAACCATGTGTGCTTATTCAAGAGAAGGAGGAAATAATAAGTTACCCTCTCTACAACTGTTATTCGATCCTTTGCATATAGTGCCTGTAAAATCTAACAAGACGAGGCGTTCCTCTGAAACTGAGTTACTATGCAAGGAGAATAATGAGTCCACCAAGACACCTGTGACCACTCTGAAGACGTTCAGAAGATGAGTTACAAGAGACTGCGCATACAACAACTGTTGCTCAGGTTCTTCACCAGTCTCAGCTTTACGGTAAAATAGCAAAGAGAAAGCCACTGTTAGAAAAAAATAATGTTAAATGAGTTAAATACAAATATTTACCTCACTTGGCAAACTCAAGAGTTTTGATATCCTGATGCATGCTCAATAATCCAGGTAGAAAAATCCAAAAAAGTTCAATCTGGTCCTCTGGACATTTTTCTTCTACAGTGGCTTTTTCTTTGGATGTAACTGGGACCCTGTGTACATAATCTCATTCCACCACATGTACCACATGAGATGTGAATGACAAATAAATCTCTCTTACTCTACGCCACTCTCCTATAAAGCTTAGACTAGTGAAATACCCAGGTAACAACTAGTGTAGTGCAGTCTCCCCCATAACTTGTTCATGATAAATACATTTGTGAGAATGGTCTGCTCTTGGTAAATTTACACACCCCATATTCCTTCCGTTCCTTGATGACAGATTTAACAGAACTGGGGATATTAAGTGCCCCCCTGGAAATCTTTTTGTATCCATCCAATGAATTGTACTTTTCAATAATATTTTCTCTGCGTTAAATGAAGACAGTCATTTTGAAGAAAGTAAATATTTATCCAGTCATCTATTTTACAGTGCATATTATTTGCTTGGCATTACAGTACTCTAAAAATTTTATCTCACGTTGACATTATGAGAGAATTTGATCAAATTTATGCCAAAAAAGCCAATTTATGTTGACCTTGATTGACTTATGATAGCAACGCAGTATAAAGCATTCAAGTGGATGAAGCTTTAATAGTGTTATTTGCAGTTTAAATATATTCACTAAAACATGTAATGTTCATAGAAAACGTAGTTTTACTCCAGAGTTTTAACAATACAATAGTCTTTCTAAATAAGTGACAGGAGTAACTTAAGGAAAGTGACAATGTAATTTTAATAATCACATAGTTCCTATCTGAAACTTTTGTTTTCAAGAAATTGTGAACATTACCTAAAGCAGATAAGGTACAATATGAACAGACGTCATAAGCAATGATTTTGTACCATTGCTGGAGAACTTTTCAAATAAATTGCAGCGGAGGAACCGGACAAACAGCAACCGTGACCAACATTAGCAACATTAGCTTGTCGACCGATAAATCGTGTGAAACTTTTAAGTAAAACAACATAAAGAAATCCATACCCTACATCTAATCGTGTCCTAACCCAGTAGACACCCGATTATCCGATAACAAATAAGATATGCATGTTATTTGGAAGAGCCAAACATAAAAATTAAAATTTGCTAGTTAGCTACAAAGCTAAAAACACTAATTTTGTAGGCGGTAGCTCACCAGGAAACGGAAATTTCAGTAAACGGTAACAGTAGGTCCGCTCGCACACGTTCCGCCGGTGCACGACTCGGCTAAAAGTGATGACTAACCGAGAGTTTATCTGCAATTAATTTTTATCATATTCAAATCTACTTATTTTATTCATTCAATTTAAATTTCGATAGTATAATCATCGTAGTTATGTTAGTCTTAGCCATATCATGGAAGTGGTAGTATGCGGTTCTCATCATGATGAGATGGTGCGTAAACTTGCTGCACCGCCGAGTAAATGGTGCGGACCCATTACAGAGCTACCTTTTCGCTTTAGATTAATTTTTTAATGCAATCATATTAGGATACTAGCAATAATAAATCGAACAACCATTTATGTAATTCAACATGTTAAATTTGTACTCTAATACTTTAGAACAAAAGGCACATATGCGAGGCCTTTTCCCGAGGCCTACGAAATAATCGATATAAATTATATATAGTATACTATTACATAATGAACCATTTGCAGGCAATTTGGATATTAGAGTATCAATATTGAGTAATTATACAACGCTACGTAAGGTACAGAGAAGTTAACTGTGTTTACAAAATAAGGAACAAAAATCGTAAAGGCCTATCAACTTCGATACAGCGGCGGTCTCTGATAAAGCAAGTGTCCCACTTAGAGTCAGCGGAGTGCGGCGCGATCGCAAATCGAGGTCGAGGCTGTTAGCCACTTAGCTTACCTTGAACTGGTTTGGGCTGCGCAGGGTAATCGCTCCCGATTAGACGGCCGAAATGTCTATTAGAATCAGCTAGGCTATTTGGGCATCGATACTCCAGACAGGAGGGTAACAGTGGTCTTCATCGAGTTCGGATTCTCTTGAAATAAGGACGAATGTAAATATTTGCTAACCAGAGCAAATTACAAGCAGTAGGTAGGCTGCTGGGGATATTTGTTGGATCCACAGCAGACTCCTCACAGCACCACTACAGGCACTGCGGGGACATGACAACAACCCGCTCAACAACAACAACCTCTCCTACCATATTGGAAATTCAACTTTCTTAAAAGCCGTAAATGTGAACATTTATTGTGTACGTATCGTTCCGAAACGAATGACAGTTTGTGTGGAGGAAGGGGCCGGTCACATAGTCCACATTTTAGAATGAAGCATCTGAGAGGAAAGTCTTGAAAAGTGTGAAATCCACCTGGACTACTGAGCGTCCACGTGGATGAGTTATCAGCCCTGCTGTCCGCTGCTCACTAATGATAGACCCAAGTGTCAATCACATACAGAGCCTCCATCTGGAAAAGTTAGACAAGTGTCACATAAAAACAACTAAAACTAGTTTAATTTAACCGGATTTTAAAAGGTGCAAAAATTAAATGCAAGGCTTCTGAAGATTTGTTAAAGCTTGGTATACCATTATTTATTTATTTCACTTTTGTTCATCTCTACACTTGGAAAAACTGCACAAACCTTATAATTTAATTAAAAACTTCACATGAAGACATTTTTTTTGGGAAGACAAAATGTATCTAAAAAAGAAATGCAAAAGCATTTCAGCGTATGTTGTCAATTTAAGCTGATCATAATAGTAAAAAAAAAAAGCACTTACACACGTTTCTGCATGTGTACCATAATGAATTCAGGCTAGGGGTGCACCGATTTATCGGCCCCGATTTCCTTAATTTTGGGAAATCGGCCGATACTTGCATGAGAAACCGATTTTTGTTTGTTTGTTTTAACAACAATTGTCTAAACTTTATTTATATTTCAGAGCACTACCTCATGGCCAGTTAAAACAAGTTTGTATTGTTTCTAAGATATTTTCAGGGTTTTTTCAATAAAATAGCAGAAAAATTGAAGGTGCATTGTGACCTTATAACACCTGACAGTGTTGCTTAGAAAACAAAATCGTCATCGGCAGGTCAGACTTTTTGGAAATCGGTGATCGGCCAGAAAACTGCAATCAGTGCACCCCTAATTCAGACACTGAGGTATATTTTATTATGAAACAACTGTTGTGGTTAAACACAAGTGCAAATGTATACCCATCTAGGAATGTGCAAATGTAGGAGTTGTGCATTGCTTAAAAAAAACAACTGATTGTTATCCTTTGTGTTTTAGCATATGATGAGCTCCTCCAAGTCCACATCTTGTGCTCCCTCTGACAACTTTCACACATTGTGCCAAGGTCTGGGGCTCTGCTTATACGATCTGTGGGTAGAAAAGTGACAGCAGATTTCCAAAGAACAAAAATTATTTGACACTGCTGCTGTTTATGACACTTATGACTTGAGAATATATATAATAACAATACAAATTCCAAGACAAATTGCACAATTTAAGCCAAGTTTTATTTTCGAATTACAGTAGACAAGCAGCTTTAAACTAAGGACCATTATGTTTATGCAGCTACATATTCTAAATATTATTTTGTAAAATGTATTTGGATATTTCATTTAACGGTAGTTTAAATAAAACCTCTGTAATGTAATGTAGTGTGAATCAGAACGGTCTCAGAAGACAAATATCTTCTGAACAGAAAGGAAAACAGGATTCAGTCTCAAATTGTTACAGAAAAAAAAAAACTTTATGGTAAATTGGAAAAATGTGACACTTTTATTAACCATGTCCTGCATAGCGGCTTTATTAAGGTGAAAAATAATTATAAGTGATGTGATCTGTGTGATACTTGATATTTTTAAACAATGCCTTACAATTACAAGCTGGAATTGGTGCTTGATCACAAATCTTAGAATAGAGTAGATGAAAACAATAATTGGATTTATGTCACTTTTACAGAAAACATTTCACATATAACAGATGTTCATTATCTCTCATCTCTTCCTATTATAAAGGTGGAATATTGGTACTATATTTGTGTTTTGTTTTTTTATAAAAAGACAAGATTATATTGAAATTGTGTGACATGTGGATATGATTCCAGCAGGACTTTGGAATCAGAATAAACATTAAAATAAGCATTAAGCAATATCCAGCTGAAAGTAATGGGGACCCACCTGTCAGATAAAACTTGACCGTGAGCTGTGCAGGAACTGAAGGTGCAGGTATGACGCCTTCACTGCCTGAAACCGATAATGGACATATCACCACCGTCAAGTGGAACTGCATGAAGCCGAGAACCGTTTGGGTTTGTTGCCTTTTGAGTAAATGACTGAAATAATAAGAATAAGTGAGGAAAGATAACTGCTGATCTAAGACGGTTCATTAACCTGCTTGAAGCTGCTGGCCTGCTCAGTGTCATCATATGGAACAGATTTGGAAAACCTCCGTGAGTCTCTCACACTTCATCAAGTCTGTCGTTAGGCAGAGTCACTGCAGCAAGCTTAAAGAGGGGAAAGAGTAAAAAAAAATAAACATAAATCATTAACCTTCTTTACGTTTAACATTCAGTACATGGTTGTTAAAGCGTCTTGTGCATGATGCATCGTTGCTATACCTCAGTTTTACAGATGTGGAGCTACAGTTTGGTGTGGCTGTACCAGAGAGTCTTCTCAACACGTACTCCTAGTACTAACAGACCTTGTGAGAACTTGCGATACCACACGAGATGGAGCATAATGTCGTTTACACGTTTGGCCAAAACAGCTATATCTCTGTCTCTTCTTATTATACGGTGATCATAATGGAAAAGGGGCATTAGTTTAAAGTTCTGACAGAAAAGGCAGCAGGTGATTTGCAGGACTTTACCCTATACGTACTTACTGAAGTATCCGATTTATTTATTTGTTATTATCGTTTCTCGCTTCTTTTTTCTAGACATCTCTTGTCACATAAACAAACCTTTTAAAGATGTGTTAAATATATGTAAATTTGAAAAAAATCTGAGCATGTGCTGTTGCAAAGTAAAGAAAAAACAAATCACCTTGATAAATAATCAAGCTGTCCTTTGAGGGGTCTCGGCAAGTAACTCAAGCACCAGCTCTTTGTAGGAACAGAACTTTAAGTGGGCTCTTCCTGATGGTCTCTCTGCTCCTATCTTGTACCCAAGATCAAAGTGCTGCAAGCTGACAGACAACCCTGATGGCACAGATAAAACAGACCATAAATAAAACAAAACAAGTTAACTCTGTGCTGTTACTGCAAGCTTTCTGAGACTATCACCTATGAAGCACGTTGAGAATCGTTCAAGTTGCCTGCTGACACAAGCATCCTGTGCTCACTTTTGATACAGCAGCAGTTTCAGCCACTCTCTGCAGACAACTACTGCCAGCAACTACAACAACAGGGCACTTTGCTCCAGCCACAACCTGCAGGAGATAAAATCCACAAAATGACTGATGGTAATGGCAAATATACAGATGGCAAAACAAAACTACTGATCAGGTGCAATAATAACCCTACACTCCCTAACTTCACTTGTCATGTGACATGGTTTACATTCTGAATACAAACAAGACTGAGGTTTTGGTTTTTGGACCTGAGTATTCTAGGAATAAATTCTGCAGTCTTTCGCCCTCCTTGGATAGTATTCATCTTTCAGTTATCAGGCTCCTCTCTTGTGGAACCAACTTAGGACTTTCCTTTTTGATAAATCCTATAGTTAGGGTTGGTTTATTATGCTGCTATAGACTTACTAGAGGACAAATTGACCTCATTCCTTAAAATGAATTGTTACAAATGAAAGTTTTCATTTGATAGTATTTCTACTTAACGTGATTCTTGACCTGCCATTGTGTATCTATTCCTTCTTCCGGTT